TAAGTGATTACCTTTCCAGTTTGGCCCCATCTGCTCATCACTGCCCTAAGTATGGTGGTTACCAGCTTTCAGACCTGCCAGCATAATTGCATGCATAGCTGCTCTCTGACCTGGCTCTGTCAAAATGAATGCAGCTGAGCTTAAACACCTCTTTTATAGTTCTTGGGGGGCTTTTGTTTCTGCTTTTAGCGTGTCAGGACCAGGTTAGGGAGCAATTAAATGTGCAGCTATGTTGGCAGATCTGAGGGGGCAGCTGGATCAGAAGCAACACATCTGACCATGCTCTAAACAAACATCTGTCCAAAGCCTTAGTCAAACAGATGTGGAGAAAAAAAATGTACCTAATCAGTCTGGAAGTGAAAATATAATTTATGGGAAACTGCATGTATCAAATTTTCTTCTACAAAATGCAATAACTAATTTATGAGATTATAATTTTCCATAGTCACACATGAAGTATCTAGTAGGTACTTCAGGAAACCAACACAAACTCAAAATGGATAAATCCACGCAGGCAATTATTTTGTGTTCTGCTGGCATGTTGTTACTAATAAAAATTGAGAACCTTTGGGTTCAGATTGCAATTTTACATATGGTAGAAAGCAGATAACTCAGTAATGCTACAAACCCATTGCATATTTCTAGTCCTGTAACACTGGCTGCATTTTTCCAAGCCCATTTCTTGTGCTAGCACAAGATTTTGCACAGACACAATAAGATTTATTGCAGGTTACTATGATGGGGAGGTTCTGGACCTGCTTCCTGGGCCACTTCACCACAGGGCAACACAAATGGTGATGCCGACAAAAGGGGAAGAAAGGAACAGAGGGAGGAACAAGCAACCAGAAGTATCAGCTAATCAAATGTGCTTCATTTGGCAGCATTGCTGGTCTAAAATCTACATCAAACTGCCTCTTCAAACCAGCTTCTGAAAAAAAGATTATTTAAAATCCGGATGATGTAAAAAACTGAATACATTGGTCTCCAGCAGAAGAAAAAAGATTTATACTCTTTTGATTCAATTATTGCTGATGTGTAGATATCTTAAGATACATAATAGTAATAACCAATCAAAAGGCATTTCCTTGTCCCATTCTCATGTTCAACACTTTAGAGAACTCTAACTTCCTCTGATTCAAAAATCAAAGTAAATAATGTATAGAGATTTTAATGTTCTCTTTAGAAATTAAGTTCATTGCAGACTTGACCAATCAAACTGTGTTAGACACTATATATGTGAACATTCATACCCTGTTGAATTGTGTTGCAGAGCTGAACACTAAAAATAGGCCACTGAGCATGAACATAAAGAATGGAGACTTTCCCAACTAGTTTGAAAATGTACCTACCTCAGTTATCCCCCAAACACTTTTTTTGTTTTGATTTATGTTCTGCTGCTTTAAAAGAAGAAATAGGTCAATATGAAATAATGCACATACTTGTATAGTAGATATTTATACCCAAAATAAACTTTCTCTTGGGAGAATATTTTTACAGCAGCATTTAAAGTCTCCTGGCAATGGTTAGCTAGAAAAATTATTTATTTATTAAGAATAAAAGTTCTCAGAAATTTTTTAACCACCAACACTTAGGATGCTGGGAATAAGCTTACTAATTCAAGTTTCTCCCTTTCCCCCGAATTAATTTTCATTGCATTTAATATTTAGTATTCATGCATGCAGAGGAATGCATAGTATGCATTAAGGCAGAGAAAATTATATTTCAGAAATGTATGGGCTATTTTGCAAGAGATGATGTGTACACACAAAGCAATTCAACTTACTACTGTTGAGTCTAATAAGCCTGAAAACAAAACACATTGCCTTGTATGATTAGACTTTTCCTCTTGCACCTACATTTTTAATATTTGGCATACAAATATCAACAATTTATGATTTGCACTTTCTCAACAACGAGGTATGAAACACTAAATAAATACTGTTTTCCCTAAAGATACGCAATACTTCTGTTATACAGACTGTGAAATGGAAAAAAATACTTAGAGGCTGAATCTGGTTTGTGACTCCTAATTTTTTCATTAAATGTAAAGACCTCTTTGCAATGACACATTTGAAGCTTCATTTTAACTAATAGACTGAAGCCCACCATTTTAGACTCAACCACAGATTTTTTTAAGGAAGTGGCAAACCATTGCTGCTAGTTGAGAAAATGAAAATTAGTCCCTGGGAGAGGATACAATCAATGGTGTGTTAATCTAACCTTCAGCTGTTAATGATTTGCACTACTATTTCCCCTGATGCTGTGGGTTCTGCTGAAATATTGTTTTAGCAGTTACTGTCAGCTTTCCCTACCTTTTTTCTGCCTGAAAGGGAAAGACTGAAGTGAAAGTCTTAGCAACAGATTTTGCCTCTGCTATTTTTTCCCCTTTTTTTCCTGACCCAGTTCTTTCACACCATGGAAGCAGAAGACAGAATGGTAAACTGTTCTCTTCTTTTCAGTTCAAGCCTTTTAGCCAGTCAGTTATTCACAACTCCTCTTACTTACAAAAGAGGTGTTACACTAAGCAGTCACCATTAGTTGTGATATTAACATGAGATTAAATAATTTAAGAAGTCTGTATTTTGCCAGTTTCTTTCACATACAGCCAAAAAGCTAAAAGTTTTACAGGTCTCTTTCTTGGAATGAACTGAGGAGGGTCTTATATTTCCAGACATGACAACTGCACAAGCAACCTGGAAGAGACTTCCTCTGCTGGTGTAGCAATAAATAAGTGTACTGATCTTGCAGATTTGCCTGATCCTGCAAACTTTGAATCCTTAAGGATCATTCTGTTCACTCAGTTGAAACAACCCTGCAAAAGAAAACTGCATAGCTTGCAAGCCAAATTCTGCAAAGTACTGAGTGCCAAAATAATAAAAGTACTCAGCACCTTGCAAAGCTGTGTTACACACACACAACACTAGTTTTCTTAGCAAGCATTTCTTCCAGGAAAGAGTGTATCTGAAGTGTTCTAGCACTCTCAAAGCTGAAAGGCCTTGCAAAACCATTCAAACTTACTTGACGTGTATCTCAGTCCCTTTATTTAACTTAGTTATGGATATTTCAGAAAAAAAAAAAAAGGTAAGTATTTAGCACGGTAAACCCATCAAGTATAGAAAATTTGGGTTGAGTTGAAGAAGCAACATTTGAACCATTTCAATATCAGCTTCATTCACACTAGAAGCTGCTGTATAGAGTTGTGTGTTGGTCCACACAAATCTAATGTATTGATAAATATTTATCGTAGCTTAAAATATAATGAAATGTTGTGAAACAATGAGTGAGCTCACATGCTCACAAGTGATTAAGAGCAACAAAATGGTTTGAATATAGGTTGCACACTACTGCAAAAATAGCTTCACAAAATTCTCAAATAACTTAGACATTACTTTATGTTTGAGTATTTTTCATGTTGAAAGCTCATCTCTCTTATTTTCCAATATTTGATGAATTTCAGAGAGTTTCCTTAAAAGGTTTAAACCATGATATTTACTACTGATAACTAACATAACCATCAGAAATTGTCTTTGTACCTAATGGACTTTGTCAAAATTTTTGTTGATTAGAAAGCTTAAAAAAATTAACTCAACGTCAAAATTCAATAGATTACAATGTGGGTGGTTTACACATTTAAGAAAATGAGTGATACTAGCCAGAAGGGCTAATTTTATTTTTTTTTAATTGTTGCTTAGCTCTTTTAATGTATTTTTATCAAGAACCTGGATTGAAGGAAAAGATTTCTAGGAAAATTTGCAATGACAAAAAACGGGATCTTTAAGCAACAAGACAACATTTCATGGATTCAGGCTATTTCAGGAGGACCAAATGTATAATCCATGTATTTCTATATGGCCAAATATAAGAACATAGTGCCTATGAATGAGGAATGTAAGCCTCAGAATCCAAAAAAGTATTCAGGGATGAAGAACGGCTCAAAGGATCTGGGATATATAAAGGGAAGAACAACAAGTAGAAATAGAGAACAAATGACTTCATTACTTGGCACTGATGTAGTAATTTCTGAAATATGGAGTGCACTTGAGACATCATCACTAAGAAGGCTGAAAAACTGCAGAGAATTCAGAAGAACTGTGGGAATAATTAAAAGACTTGCAAATACACCATATAGTCAAGCTCAAATAATAAAAACTTTTCTTCATATAATGAAGAGATTGTATACAATTTGATGGTTATCTGCAAATTCATACATGGGGAATAGAAATGTAATCTCATCTGAAAAGATGTAATAAAATCTGTTATCTGGAAGCCCATATCATGCAAAGGTAGATCTAAAACATGATATTCCTTACAAGTAATTAGAGCTTCTAAAAAATACTTGGAGGTATTTATATAAAGAATTCACTATATGCCCTGTTACTGGAATCCACAGTTAACCCACAGTGGCTGTTTCTTTAAAATACAAATTTGTTCCCTGTGAACTAAGTCAGGTAAATCTTATGGCATTTACATTGGAGAGTAGATTGGATGGTCACGTTTCCAACAATTCTCTCAGCAATTAAAATCCACTGACATCAAACACAAGATTATGACTGCATTCAAAGAACTTTGGATCACATGCATATTCACAATTCTATCAATCTGGTTATACGCACAGAATTTTGGTTTTAAAGGCTAATGAAAAAAATAGACCTGGTTTGTCAGTTTTATTATCTTCTTTCTGTATTTTAATGAAAGAAAACTCAGATTTTAGCATATAGTTTAACATAAGATATGGTCAAGTCAGCTGAAATCCCAAAACTGGCAAAAGGTGACAGCCAGATGAACAGGATCAGAGCTGAAACAATATCCTGCAAGTATCATATTTAGCCTTACAGATTAGAAAGGCTTTACACACTTTGCTAAAAATAAGTTGCATACAGAAAGATCCAGATGCTTTGTTTATTCATTTTGGGTTATCAATAACAACTTCAGTATATAATTCTCTTTTCTTCCTTCTTAGTGATTAAAAAGCAGTCTCAGGTTTGCATACATATACTTACTCTGGCAGTCGAGACAGGATACCTAAGGAAAGGGAACTTATGCCATCATTAATCCGACCCGACAGTTTACGCTTCTGAATCCAGCTGACAGCAAATTCCAGCCCAATAAAAGTAATAAAGAATGGAATACTCTGAAAAAAAAAAGAAGTTTGAAAAAAAAAAAGAAGTCACAACACAAATAAAATTAGTTACACTTTTCCAGCAGCAGTTTATGCAGCCAGATGCTTCTCAGATTGGTTGGCACCTTACTAGATCACCTTACTGTGATAAAGCTCTTACAAATCATAACAACCAAGGCTACCCTTTAATGCATAACAATGTTATAAATCCACTGCAGTAACCTCCAACCACATAGTTTTGTTTTGTATATTCTGCACGTGAACTGTTAAAAGGTATCATAACAAAACACAAAAGTCTTTCCAAACTCATATTTCTCATATTCAAGTGAATCAGCGAGAGCAGCAATGTTTGTGGATTTCTCTAACCACAAGGTAGAAGAGAATCTGTTTTTTATTTGATATGTACAAAGTTTTCTGAACGTGTTCAGCCTCTGAACTGGGCATCCAACATTATTATCTGAAAGACATAGTAAAGTGAGTTTCTTCCTACTCAGCATTTCTGTTGCCATGCTTTTTGCTTCAGACAGCATCAGCTCTTCCATATGCGTTTTCATCAGAGAACTCATTAACTGTGCAATCCATTCGAATGCATGCAATACAATGTCTTCTTTCCAGACCAAGTAGCAATAATACAATGTTCCCCTTTTTCTTTTAGATTGTACTGACTATAAAATAATTTTCTGCCTTTCTGAAACAAAGTATAATGATGAGCAAGACCTAAACATTTCTCATTCAAAACAGTGTTAGTCTAGGATTCAGTTCTCACTGTCCATCTTGCATCCCCAACTAAATGACAAGTTGAAAATGCACAACAGCAGCATCCAGTAATGAAAAGTGTGGCTATGACTAGGAGTAGCACTGGTAACATTCTAGTGACATCGTTTTTCACCAGCAGAGAAAGACTCTTAGACCTGTTCTCAAATTTTCATCATCACAGGCAACAACAAAAAAAAAGCCTTGAGTAACAGTAAATGGTAGAGCATATACTCATATACTTTTTTTGCTAACAATGGAGTCCTAATAGTCCTGTACTTCATGTGTGGAAGGAATCACAAGGCAGTGCCAGCATATTAGCCACTGCCACCAAAATCTAGAAGGCCTGTGGCAGGGAAAATGGAAAGGAGGTATCAGATCTCTGTGTCTGCAGTGTCTGCAAATGGTCCTTCAACTGTGTCCCTCGCTCTGTAGAAAAATTTTAGGTGACCTTTGAGATGTTCGTACAATTTCTTTTTCATTATATGAAGGCAAAGAATTCTCATCATGTTTTGCGGGGCAAGAGAAATGCAAGACCAGTGAGACGTTCTGCACCGCTATGGGAGGCACCACACTGTCAAGCTTGCCCTGTTACTCTGCTGCTGCTGCTTTTGCCCTCTTCAATGACCTACAAACACATCACAGCTTCACTGACTGAAACCCTCCAAACTGCACTGCTGTAGGAGAGAGACTGCTACTGCCTATACAACATTTTAATGGAAGCAGCATGTTGCCTGTGCAAATGCCATTGAATTTTGGAGGGTGCTCATTTTTTGTTGCCAAGTGAGATACGATCTGGGAATTCCTACCAGGCTGGGACACTAAAGAGACTAAGATGGATATAGACCAGATTGCTCAGTCGAAGAAGAATTGGATGATTCAAACCATGCAAGCAGCAAGAGATTTATAGCGTCTAGGAAATGTGAAAGTTCATAAACTTCAGCAGCACAGGGTTAGGTTACAATAACAGATGAACAGAGATTAATATCAACATGACACTTTTTAATTTAGGTGCCTAGCTTGCTCTGTAACAGCATTTTAGGCGTATAAAATGGTATGTACTCACTGATGATATAAAAAACTCAGAAAGCAAAGGAAGACCTACGCATAAAGCCTAAACAGCACCCAAGAAAACCAATGTGGTAAATCTTTCAATATTTGAAATCAATAATAAGGAAAAAAAAAAAGAAACCCCACTACCTTTCATTTGAAATCAGGGAAGCATTCTAGGAAAATATAAATACTTCTTTGTTTTGCTCTATCTAGATGCTTCATTTCTGAGTGGAAAAGAGTTTTAATGTACTTTTCTTAATTGATATAAACAACGAACGGACTCCTACTTTATCGAACAAAAACTGATCACCATGGCTGTACATTCCATCAGAGAAAAAAAAATTTAATAAGAAAAACTAAGAAACACTTGACCACAATATTAGGAGCCAGGTCTAACACAGACTACAAACAGTTTGAAGGTATGAAACAGCAAAAGCTGCACAGCAAATGCAATGGGCTCAGGACAGAAAAAGTTAATGGGAAATGTACAATGTCTGTATTCTCCATGATTCACTTTACCCAGCAACCTCTGAAACAGTTAGAACACTTGACTTTATACTAATACACACTATTATAACTGCTCTCTCATTGACTTCATTAAATATTTTCTTCCCACTGTGAAGCTGTGAAACAGCCAAGCATCTGACAGCACTTTTTGACTCACAAATAGGTGGTGTCATAGCAAGAAGGATAAAGAAACATTCAGACAGCCTTAACCTCCTGCCCATCAAGGAGCTTGCAAAAGAAAGACTTATGGCATAGCCCTTACTATCTAAGAAATTACTAGCTCTCTACCATACACTGCATTAAGCTTTGCCCAAAGCAGATCAAAGGGATGAACTACGTCAAGGCTAGTATGTATTATTTATGTGACCATAACACTACTGTCATGGGGCAGGATCATACTGTGTTACATGCAGCACAAATAGAATGAAAAGGCATTCCCTGTCCCAAAGAGCCTACCGTGTAAAGATGAGATCTAATGCAAAAGAGGGATACTGCAAGTAAATCAGGAAAAAAGGAGACAGTAAGAGAGAAAATAATCTCTCCAGCCTAACCACTTTTTTTTCTTCAAATTAAAATGGCAGTGAAGACATTTAAGAACCTGTTGAGGATGGGTTGCTTTGCAACAGTTTTCCATGGTTGTCTCTACAAATAAAATGGCACAAAGTTAAGAGCCACTGTTAGCATCACAGATCAGAGACGGATCAGTAGATACCAAAAGTATCTGGCTTCTATGTTTTCCAGTTGTTGGGGTTTTTTTCTCCCATCACCAGATATACTCAATGGAGATTTGCATTAGCTTGTGGCTTACTTGAATGACTGATCCATAACTGGAAAGCCTTACTCTGAGCACTTAGTAAGAGGGGTTCGGAATGCAAAGGACGATTTTAAAATCAGTTTCTGCTTTATACTGTTGCAAAAAAAAATAATATTCTAAGTTGAAACTCAGCATACATTCATAGTTTTATTGCTTTTCTTGAAACAGTTTCTATTTTCTTAAAGTCCCAGATTCTTATGACAAATATTCTCAACTTTCAAGTAAAACTAAATATGAAGGGTTTGTGCCTCATTATTTAGAAGCAAACCCTAAAATGTGACTTGAGTTTAAATGTGAATTTAGTCTTTAGGCTCTCAAGAGAGTATATAGAAAAGGAAAAAAAAATATTATTAAATTGAAAACTCTCATTTTGGGGTTGAAATTATCAAAATTATGAATTTATGGTTCATGAAAACTATATTCGGCAAAGAAAAAGCAGTATTCCATATGTCCATCTGTAGATTATGAGAAAATAAAATAAAAAAAAAAGTAAAGAGCAACCAAAACCAATCAACAAAGCATGCAGACTCTAATTTACACCCATAGCAAAGAGGGTGCTCTTAAAAGGAAAGGGCAAGCATCACTACAGATTTAGAAGTCAGGATGCTCTGCCCCACAGAAGAAAAATCAATATACTCTCTTTTCTCAGAAATAAGGAAAAATCAAGGTATTTGAATTCTACACTCACATTTTGAAACATTTATGTGACAAAACCTCACATAAAAATAAATTCTATGGTGATAATCCAAGATTTAGAGTCCTTTTCCTAGAATTTTGAAGATTAGTTGAAAGGGTGAATTTTCCCTGGGCACTACTGCGGAGCTTTTCTACTTGTCACTGGTAGCAGCTGATCAGCTCATGTTTTAAATAGGACTTGGGGCCTTCACATACAACTCTGCCAACATACAGAGCACAATGCAGGGACCAGGAGCTGTCCTGACTCTGAAAATGGAAGTAATATAACCACAGACAGAAAGTACACTGCACAAGTTAAGCTAACCAAACCATTCTGTTCTAAAAATCATAGCTGCTTCACCCACTGCTGTCATTTCCTGCCTAGTTATAACAGCACAGACTAAACTAGCTCTAAGTAGCCACTCCTCCCAAGTGCTCAGTTTTTCAGATCACTAGACCCGTGAATATTTGAGTGAACTAGGAGGTTCTGCGACCTGTCTAATTTTGGAAGGTGTAAACCCCTACAGGTGTAGCCATGTGATCTACTGTACTAGAAATACTCTCAACTGTCTAATATACATGATAGGTCACAGATCCAAGATGCAAATCCCACTTCTATACAGTGTCTCAGAAAAAACAAACAACAAACAAAAAACAAACAAATAAACAAAAACAAAACAAAAATAAAAAAGGGGAAAAAACACTCCACACTGTTTAGGAGACACTAATGCAATAACGTAATCAATACTTTGTTTCACACATGCATCATGATTGTGAGTTTAAAAAAGCATCAATTATTTTAGCTGAGGCCTTCTTTTAATATCAGCTCTACACTAGAATTGTTTTCTTCTTCTGTGTAGGGTTGAGCTCAAACATCCACTTGTACCAACCTCCATCTGTACCAACTCAAGGTGCCACCACTCCAAGCCCTCCTTGAAAGCCTCATCAGTTCACTATTAAATCTATTCCTGATGATTCCAACAGATATGCTGCTCTTTCAATTGTTCCCTCAACAGTCCAAGAAAAGCAGCTGGGGAGAGACTGTAGATATTTACCTTCTGCCCACAGATATGGCCAGAAGAGGAAGGATGAACACTGCCTAAGTTCAGACCAAAGCCATAGAGTTAAAACAGTTATACCACCAAAATACTTTCATATACCCACATAACCAAGCATCAAAATATCTGTTCTAGCAACAAACACACTGGCCAGGAAGGAAATCTAGTACAGCTAACTCAAGATAGGAATTATAGGAAAGTGTAATTGTAATGGGAAACGCATTTTTAGTGCAGTTTTTTGTGAGATACTACTTTAAAAACTTATCACAACAGTGCTCTACAACAGCATAAGTCTGTAGGCACTTTTATAATTCAAACAAGTATTAAGAATCCTTACACAAACTTACAGCTGTGCGCCCAGTATAAGAAATTCCACGTTTGGCCAAGGTCTGAGCTTAATATTTCACACAGGAGAGGAAAGCCCAGGGATGCTAAGGAATGCTGCTGACAAGAAAGTGAATGATACTCTTTTGGAAATGTGGGAACAGTAAAAGGGGCTGAGATAGAGTAGGTAGAGCTGGAGGGAGATACCAGCTGACAAGGCTGATATCAAGCTTCAGAGTCTTCCTTGATCATGACGCTATAGCTCAGTTGCAAAACACCTCTGAGGACAGCAGTCCATTGACCAGCACAGGCTGTGCTTGCAGCAGCTGTCTGCTTACCCTGTCCAAAAGGGCAACCTTTGCTGATAACATCCATCAGTGAGGGGCTGCTGCATACTACAGTTCTGAGAAAGCTGCTGACAGTGTTACACTGTCCAACCCTGCAAAACGCATGACACTCCCACTGCAGCCTGACAGCAGCTGCTGCACAGCAGTCCAAGGTACACCTGGCAGAGAAGCTAGCCAGAACTACCAAGACCCATGTAAAAAGTTTGGATCTTCAATGAAGCTGGGCTAGATTTACTTTGTCAAGGGCAAAAAAGAGTTTATCCGCCATTTCTGAGAACAGATGACATCGATCTGGGTTCAGCAGATGCTGACTGTCAAGATATTTGCACTAGGCACGACAGAACAGAGCAAAGGTACTTTCTTGGAAGTGGATAAACTGGCAGGGCAGGAGCAGAGGGAGGGATATATTGCTGCCTGCTGACAAGGGGGTTCTCATTCCTGACCTCTGTACTCTTGCATTGGAGCTTTAGGACACAGCACTGTCCCAGCACAAATATTTGTTCTAAATTCTCTTAAACACTCTTTATTTTTTATTTTAAATAGAAAGTTTTTATTTTTCTTTCTTTGACTGAGCTTTTAGCACTTGCCTTAAGGGCTTAAAGAGGCTTTTTGCTTGCTTTGCTTGGTGACAGCCAAACACAGTATCATGTTTTCTGGTTTACTCAGTTCAGTTTGCTGGTACTGTTCAGCTTGTCAGTGCTGCTGGATATAACATTAGCATCAACCCTCAGATATTTGGGGTGCTTCTCTGAAACCTTTAGCTCCTGGTATCAGGAGAAAGCATCTGAGCCTTCATTTAAAATACATGAAGATGGGGGGCACGGTTACTCTGGCACGGTTACAGGCAGAAAGCCCAGGAGTGAGAGCCGTCAGAGAAACGCGAGGTATTTAATTTTCATTTAGGTGCCCTTTCGCGGACATCATTTCCTTGGGCCGGCTGTGGTTTTTGACAGAGGCGCAGGTGGGCGGAGGGGAGGAGGGCGAGGGATGCTGCCGGGAGTGGGAAGGAGGGGACTCTCACCTTCTCCACGTAGTCGGGCACCTCCTCCAGCGAGCGGAAGGAGCTCTCGCCGGGCGGCAGCGCGTAGAAGAGGGCGCGGAGCTGCTGGCCCGGCGTGGGGGCCCGCGGGCCGCTCTGCTCGCTGCCTGCGGCCATGGCCCGGCCGCGCTGCCCCCGCTCCGCGCCGCGGGTGCGCACAGCGCCGACAGACCGACCGACCCACCGACAGACACACAGACCGACCGCCCACAGCACCGCGGCGCTCGGCCCCGCGGCCTCGCCTCCTCACTCCGGGGAGCTGCGGGCTTCAGGGCTTCTGTGGGGAAAGCCTCCCGTTTCTTATTTCTCTGCATCGCACTGTTTTGGAGGTTTGCTGGGGTTTGGGGTTCTTTTTTGTATCAGTGTCATCCCTGCCTGGCCCACTTCTGGAAGTTGAGAGAAAGCCCTGTGTATGCACCTTCCCTGCCCACTGCATGCCCCAGCTCCCTTTGCACCATCAAAAATGTCAGAACCTCGAAAAACAGCAGAGCTCAAGCTATCCTTTCTTGTTTTTACACAGATTTCCACCAAAAAAATAAAACATATTGCTCAGGTTTTGACTTCTGCATAAAAATAAAATGTTAAGGGTTTTGAGAAACAGGCAAAGGTGTGTTTTCGCTGTATGGGTCAGCCCAGCATTCTCGCCGTTAAAACGTTCTGGTTTTTAGTAGGGCTTATCACAGCTCAATTTCATATAGCTTCAGTTAACATGACTACACTGAAGGAAGCCTCTAGAAGCCATCAGTCATGCTCAAAGGAATGAGAACTAGGGAAATACAAAGAAACAGTGAAAAAAGAAGTATGCTAGATCCCTATAGAAAATTACTTTTAGAAATGGGAATGAGGACAGGTATTTGCATTCAATACTTTCAGTCTGAAGCTAAGGAGCATGTCAAATGTTTGTCAGTCATACTTGATGTTTGGTGTTAGTACAAATAATAAACTTTGTGGCAGATTAGAAATAAAAATGCAGTGTCTCAATAATCCCTTCATTTTAAATGTTCAGTTCTGCTTACAGTCTGCAAAAGAAATGGACTGTAAATCCTGCTGTTAAGGATTTTACCACAATTTAAATTCTAATTAAATTAAGAATTAATTAATTTAATTCTGAGTAATTAAATTAAGAAAAACATTTTACTTTGAATCAGCCCTTAATTTTTGAAAGGAACTATGCCAAATAATTTCATCCGAAGTAGAGCAGGGATGTCAGAACGTCACTGGACATATGAATAAAATATTTTACTTTAAACTGAACAAGGCACAAGTATATTAAAGTTGCACTGATGGTGAAACAAAGTTGGGCACTCTCTTAATATATATAGTTTATACTAGTATTATGATATAAGGGAAAAAATTAATAACATTTAAATGCTTTAAAATTGCATCCTAATGTTCTCAGCTTCATTGATTTATGATAATCTGAGGTTCTTCTAGAACTCAGTTATTAACATCTAAAATCTCAATCAAAATGAAAATTCAAAATTTACTCAAAATCACACAAATCAACATCATTCTGACTAGATCTTCATTGCAGGCAATGACAGAAAACATGTCCTTGTTTGTTTAGATTAACCTCAATATTTCTACGACATTACTCTCACATTCAAGCTCCTTTGACTCACCTTAACCTCAGCCACACCCTCTCAGCAGGCCCTCCTGAGCCCTTCATTGTTCTGGTGCTCGTATTCATCTTGCTCCACCAGCAGCTCACAGAGTTAAAAATGGCCTAAATTTAATCCCAAATTGTTATCAGTGAACTGTATTTGGGGACCACTCTGGGGTAAGAACAATTAGCAGGAAAAGGGAGCCCATAGCCATATAAGGTGAGATACATTTCAGGTACCATGGAACCGCTACATCATATCACACCATTCTGGGAAATAAGATAATCCATCAAGTTTTTATGACTTTCTACTTCCTTAAAAATCATTTTTTTGAACCCTCATTTCATTGTAAGTTGTTACCCCAATATTGCTGCACTGAAACTCTTGCTTTAAAAACCAAAGGAAGGAATTTGGACTTGATCGTGCTTCACAGGGGAAAAAGATGGGTTGTGTTTTCCAAGTTGTATCCAAGGAAAAATAGCTGATAGCACTACAATAGCTACACCTCTGGTGAGGAGAAGAACAATTTTAAATGTTATCTGGAGCATCTATGAGTTTTTGACAGGCTCCAGTAGTCTGGCTCAACAAATGTAGTCTCTGTTGTCTGCTTATGCCTTGAAAGTTAGCATGCAATTTTCAGTGCTCATTCTTTTTGCTGCTACGGAAGAAAAAGAAAATAAATCACTCATGAATGTTCCTTTATTGGAGGCACTAACCCTCTCCCAGACGATGCTACCTCCATTCAGTGACCTTGCACAATTTTTTTGCAAGAGTTACTTTTTTTATTATTTTATTTTCTACAAAAGGTAATCTACTCTTTTTATCCTCTTCACACACACACACACACACACACACACACACACACACACACACAAAAAAAAAAAAAAAGCTGATATTTCCCATCCTATACTGCCATCAAAAATGCAGAAGGATGTTCTGTCTGGAGACTGGGATTCTGCTGTTGACTAGCAGAACATTCCAGTAACTAAGGCAACAAAGGCCTCTGTTCTTCTTAGAGGAAATTGGGAAGCTGGCCTAACATGATCTGTAGGTGGATCATATTTTGTTTTCTCTAAAGAGCTCCATCCCACCCACTCCATGAACAGAGAACGCCCAGAGTCTTCCTGTTTGGGTCTCTCTAAGCAATAAAGCAGCACTAAATAATAAAGTCATAAAGGGAATAAGGGCAGGTTGAAATTGGGATGGGCCATATAGTCTGCCTTGGCAGTCATTCACATCAAACTTAATCATATCCAGAACGGAGCTGGGCTTAGTATGTTCTGTTTACGTGTAGTATCTTTGAATATAGAAATACTTTATATGATGAGTACACTGTGACAAGCAGCTGTCAGAATAATTTTGTATCACCACTCCAGGTATACAGCACCTGTGCTTGTCAGTGAGTGACACTACAGGAGAACTAAATGCATCAGCATTATTATAAAACTTATATTATAAAATATTTGCCATGTCTTTGTCAGTGATAAACCCTGCATCATACAGTACCATTTAAGAAAAAATTACTTGTGTTTAATTTGTTGATGTTATAAGCAGTTCTTAATTATTAATAATCTTATTAATACACAGTTCTTATAGTAGCATACTGCTGACTCCAGAGACCGAAAACAAGGGTGTTTTGAGTATTAATCAACATCATGATATGCACTTGGCCACTTACTGCTAACTTTTAATTTCTTTTGCACAGGACTAGGAACCATACTACAGTGTTCCTATATGATCATTCTAACTTGATTAAATTCAACTTGTTAGCAAAATCAATTTATTCAAGGGTTGCCAACACCTCCTGCAAAAATAATACACCCATTATTAAGTCTGTTGGTGATAAGTGTACATATTAGTCTCAGAATTTTATCCTCTTACATTTGTTAGTTATATTACCTATTCCTGATCCTATAGAATCATTAGTTTGTTTTTCTTGGGTTTTGTTTGGTTTGTTTGTTTGCTTGTTTGTTGGGGTTTTTGAAAATTTTTGTTTGTTTGTTTGTTTGTTGGGTTTTTTCAGCACAGTGGTAGATCTGCTGTCTTCTTCCTCTTATGGAGAAAATATTTTTTTATTTATTTTTAAAATTCCTTATCTTCCTTCTTTTGTCACCTTGGGAATTGTTTGTACCTTAGACTCTGGTCCCCTCCTTAGTTGAACTGGATGCTGATTTTCTCCTAGAACACATTTGGGCAGCACTGTTTTCTACTTCTTTGTTTTTAATTCCTCCATCATGTACTTTGCCCTGGCACTGAGACTGACAGGATTGCTCCCTGAGTTTATTTCACAAACTCACATAGCAAGAAATCAAGCCAGAAAATAAACAATTTCATATTTCTCTACTGCTCTAGTGAGCTAAGTGGTTAAAGAGAGTGTTCACAGAGTGCAGGAGTTGGCATAAAACCACAGGAGAAAGTACAAGAAACCACACAGCTACGAACTAGAGATGGGAGAAAGAAGTGGAAACAGGATTTCTTCATTTCAGCAGCAGCAAGTTATTTGAGCAACTGAACAGTTCATGGAGTCACTGCCTCCTGTGCATTTGTCAAAAATATGGCTTTGGCAGGCTATCATATGTCAGCAGGGAACTACATCCAAACAGTTGATGCGTCCTTCACATCAGCACTTCAGTACCTTTGTTTCAAAGTTCTCCTTTTTTTTTTCCTCTGGAGCGTCAGTCTCTACCAGGATGGAATCTTTCTCGTTTGTTTGACTGTGCTGTATACACTACATGTTATGAATTGGTTTTGGTTGGACATGAAAGTTCCCTGGTTCTTATGTTCTAGCTGCTACACAGGAATGCGGTCATGGGACATCTGGAAGGACAGGAGAATGGTGCTCTCCAACGGGATCCAAAAAGGACCATTGGTCTGCAAGGAAACCAGGAGGGGATAGTTCAAGGATTGTAGCAGATGAAAGATGTACCATGAGATGAGGAGTCAGAGACCTGATCAGGAAGAGGACAGGAGTGGCCCAGAGCCGCAGGAGGGAGGTTATCCTGACGACAGAGGAACTTTACAGAGGTTGCTGCAGAAAAGCAGCTGAGATTGCAAGCTGAGACATACACATCCTGAAAGTAATGGCTCACCCTATTAGGATACAGTGAGCAGCAGGAATTGGTATTCATGCTCTGTGGTTTTTATTAGTCCTCAGCAAAAAAACACAGTGTTCTCTATTTCAGATGCTACTTCACTTTAAGTTTTTCTATTCTAATAAAACAGTGTTGGGGGGAAATCCTCTTGGTGGTCATTAGACACTGCACTCAGCCATTTTAACATGCTCCATCAACAGAAAAAATACCCAACAAAGCACTAAAACTGGCTTGAGTTGTTCTGGTCTGAAGGCAAGACAGAGATTCACAACAGAAAGGATGATCAAGGCAACATGGTAGTCTAAATTTTACCCTGCTGAGGAAAGCTTGGGAACTTCAGAATTTCAACCTTGTCCTTGTCTGACCTCTGTAGAAAGATTTGTCAATAAACCAGCATGTGGTCTGACTAAAGGATTGTTAT